CTACACTTTTCGTTATCTTCTTCAGGTTAATAAAACAGAACGTGGCAATGACATTATATGTTATTATCTACACTGTCCATTATCTTCTTCAGGTTAATAAAACAGAACGTGGCAATGACATTATATGTTATTATCTACACTTTCCGTTATCTTCTTCAGGTTAATAAAACAGAACGTGACAATGACATTATACGTTATCTACACTGTCCATTATATTCTTCAGGTTAATAAAACAGAACGTGGCAATGACATTATACGTTATTATCTAGACTGTTCGTTATCTTTTTCAGGTTAATACAACAGAACGTGGCAATGACATTATACGTTATTATCTAGACTGTCCGTTATCTTTTTCAGGTTAATACAACAGAACGTGGCAATGACATTATACGTTATTATCTACAATGTCCGTTATCTTCTTCAGGTTATTACAACAGAACGTGACAATGCTGTTGTTACCTCACTATCCAATCTTCCTTCGAGTTGATAGTACAAAACATGATGGTAATGATACTAAACCTGTCCCTCATCATTTAGACAGCTCGCTGTCTCCTCTAGGTTTATAGTAAGAAATGGATAACTTACATAAATTTCCAACTTCGTGTGTCATATCTGTTACATTCCTTAAATCAATGGTACAGATAAATTCGATGTTGTCATTTTTGTTTGTCTGACAGAGTTTTGTCTTAGTAGTCATTCTGAATGTGTTTTATCGTCTATCAACTTTATCCTAAGGTTGAATGGACCACTCAAGGTTAATTGCACAGAACATCTAGGTGACGTCATGTCATCTATCTTATTATGGATCTTAATGGACCACTAAAGGATAATTGTACAGAACAACCAAGTGAATTCAAACTATCTTATCATGGACCTTAATGGACCACTCAAAGTTAATAGTACAGAGTAGCCTAGTGGAGTCAAACTACCTTATCTTCGTGAGTTATTGTAAAGAGAATGTAATAATGTTACATATTTTGAAATTGAAAGAACAGTTTGGAAGTGATTTTACTGTACAGAGTACATTAATATGTCCCCCTTACTTAATCTAGTTCACATTATAACAGATTGAATAATGTCTGACTGTACAGAGTAAATTAATATGTCTCCCCTTACTTAATCTAGTTCACAACATAACAGATTGAATAATGGCTGACTGTACAGAGTACATTAATATGTCCCCCTTACTTAATCTAGTTCACACCATAACATATTGAATAATGGCTGACTATACAGAGTAAATTGATAATGTCCCACTTTACTTAATCTAGTTCACACCATAACATATTGAATAATGGCTGACCATACAGAGTAAATTGGTAATGTTCCACTTTACTTAATCTAGTTCAAACCATAACAGATTGAATAATGGCTGACTGTACAGAGTACATTAATATGTCCCACCTTACTTAATCTAGTTCACAACATAAGAGATTGAATAATGGTTGACTGTACAGAGTAAATTAATATGTCCCACTTTACTTAATCTAGCTCACACCATAACAGATTGAATAATGGCCAGGTCAAGACCGGCTGTACAGAGTAAATTAACAAGGTCACACCTTACTTCATCTAGTTCACACCATAACAGTCGGTGTTCATGAAAGCAAAAAATATAAATAACACCGAGATCCTTAGTATTTCTGGCATATCTCAGTCAGCTGATGAGCCCTGGTAATTGGCGAAAGACCTCGTCGGTACCACAGCATATCATAATATATTCTTCTTTGCATTCACTCACAAGTTCTTAGGTTTACCTTATAAGGACAGTGAATGTAAGTGATGATAATAACTCAGTGTTATCATATCTCTCTCTTGGATACCAAAGGGTGAATTATATATCAGGGTTAACTGTATAGAATAGACAGATTCTTTATATATATATATATACTTAATGATTCATTCTATTGATCAGGATAATTATTTAATACAACCTAATCATGACCTCAAAATTATTGTTTTTCGTCCTTGTGGTTAAAAGTTCAATGGTGTTGCATTTTCTATTTTAACGACACTATTTGTTTATTTTAACGACAATATTTGTTGTGTTCCGGAAGTGAGTCGACTATTTTTATCCTCTTACATGTCATTCCATACTATGAAGACAACCAATTATTAATGACACATTTTCTATAACTCACCAGGACTGTCTACTGTTTCCTTCAAGTTGACAGCGCAGAAAGGATCGATGAGACTACTACTGCAGCCTTCGACTGCTTCATCTCCAACTTCTATTTGGAGTAGTTTCACCCTTACAAAACCTTTTCCAGACATTATGGAGAGAGGTTATGCGAAACCTGTTGGGACGAAAACATGAATTTTTTTTTTTGATTAATGAACTTCATAATGAAATAGCTGCATAAATAATATTACACATCATCAATGAGGAATAAAGTACCGAGGTGAAGTACGTTATAGTGAAATTAATTTGGACCCTCCCCACGTCATTACAGTTTATGTTATTATGCCTGGTCGCACCCCATTTATATATATATATATATATATATACACCATGTATCGTGACAATAAATCTGCAGCATAGTTTCCATTGTAAAAGGCTGTAATGTCCAAAGTACACCACTCCTCCCGCCATGCTTTCCATAAGCCACCTATCATATGAGGACTGCAGTTTTCCAGCGCCTGTTCCAGCAGTACAATAGCACCGATCTCACAGAAATCCACAGACGAGTTGATCGGTATGACTTCGTACGCAATAGTGTGAATAATTGTTGCATTCTGCAGTTGCTGAAAGTATGGGACGATTGAACTGATATGTCGTAGGAACAGCTTGCGTGCACATGACTTGTGTCGCTTTTGTAGACCGAGATATTTCTTCACTATGTTGTGTACTGTAGGGCACGTGTACAGCTTTTACCACTGACCTCTGTGTTCATGGGCTCTCACCTGTTACAAAACGCCGCAACTTGCTCATCACGGCTGAAGCTTGTTGAAAGTCTTTTTCTGGATGGTCCTTGTATCCAAAGCTGATCCATATTCCTTAGTTTTTCAATGTCATTAAGTGCAAGGGATATGCCTATCATGGAAATTTTAAATTTCTGACTGGGATGCATCTTTATTATCTTTGTTTTGCACCGGAAAGGACTGTTACATACACGAACAATATTTGGTGGCATTACACAACCTCCGTAACACCAAACAATATTAAAATGTAGTTCTTATATAAGCTGTTTCACCACAACCTTATATCAGCTGCGGTTGTCACGTGACTTGCTGATTTGAACATTCGAAATCGTTTTAATGTAGCATACGCAATCCTCAGTATAAACGAATAGTTGTCTGTCACATCTAAAATACATTTTTTTTTACAATTATCAAAATAGAATTTTTAACCGAAGCCATTTTAGTGTTTACTTCTTCTGACGTCAATATGTTATGTACAGTCTTGTTGATCAATGACTTTGTTTTTTGATTTCACGGCAGAGTAATGTTCGAATGTAAAAATCCATTAATTTATTTCTGTTTTTAGCTTTGTTGTTATTTTTTGATCTTAGATTAGAGAAGCGCTCGGTGAAGCGTGTTCTTAGTTTTGGAGTTTTAATGTACCTTTGTTGCTGTTTCTATTAAATTGTCGAATTAAAAAAAACACTTTATATCTGAATCATTATTGTAATAACATCGAATGTTGCTATTAATGCTAATTCTTAACTTCGGTTTCTCACAGTTTATTTAAAAACTTTTTATTTTTCAGTGCACTCGAATCCGCATTTTAGCACTGTTTAGTCCATAAACTTGCCGCTAGTCTACCGCGGGAGTGTGTGGGGTAGAGGGCTGTTTAAGAAGAAAAAGAAATATAGAAAGTTTAACTGGCAAAAATGACGTCATAAAGCAGCCGGTCGTTTACGTTTCTCGAGCACTTGAAAATAGGTATACCTACTTAGGGGGATGTTAATAATAAGCACGTGGCGATCAGAATTAAAAAAAACATATACAATATTTTGGTACTAATAATTTGGGCTATTTAAATGAACTATGACGCATGGTCATTCCTACGGCATATTAAGGTCACTTGTAAGCACATTGTACCTTTGTGCCGAGACTAGGTTAGTTGTGTTTTTGGTTTGTTCTGATCTGGTGTTTCGAATACTGTCACCAAATATAGTCGTCCTTCTTTCAGCCGTGGGAGCGTTATAATATTACTGGCAATTCCACTTTTCGTTGATAGAGAATAAGCCCAAGAGTTGGCGGTGGGTGATGTTGACTAGTTCTGCCACTTCTCAATTATAGCGCAGATAACCTTCGAGTAGCTTTCAATGAAGAAAACTGTTTTTATAAAACTACATTATGAGGTATTTTGTCCACCCCGGGGACTCAAACCTCGGATGTTTGTGTTGTAAGTCTGTAAAGCTGGCCCACAAGGAACCAGCCTAGTCGTTATAGAATTATATTAGATATCTGTAAAAAAATATTCTTTTCGTTTCAACTGAAATAATTAATTCATAATCACGTAGAGAATTATTCGACGTTATTTAGTTATTAAAAACAGTATTTATTAACAGCAGCGAAAACAGTACAAAATAGACACATATACAGTATTCGAACCGTAACTACTAAAGAAAGGGAAGTCCATAAATATAATGAAATAAGTATACATTCTACTGGTACTGTTATATATATATACCATGTAATTAATTACCTCATCAATCATCTACTAATTGAATTAAAATTAAGATTTAACAATAACTTTGTATAAGTGTTTTCATCAACACTGGTTAAAGTGTGAAAATTTCGGTTCAAATGTGTCACAGAAACTGACATGTATGCTATCGAAATGGAAATCAGGTCTCAGTCATGAACAATTTTGATAGGCCCTCTCATATTCAATAACTTGTAGAACCAGGTAGGTTCTAAGCTAGAATCAGATAGTTTATAACCTCTAAAATAGTGGTTCTTTAGCTAACCGCTCGCAACCAGCTGTCTGACCTGGAGATCTATATAGTTTTCAGACTCTAAGATGGTAACTCAAAAACAACAAACTAAGAAGCAACGTTACCAGCGGTTGACAAAGATAATATTTTTGACACAGTCAGAATAAGCATGGCTGTGGTGTACACGCGTGTCTCCACTGAGGCTAAGTCAGTCATTGAAGTCGCACACTCCTCCCCCATGCGCATGATCCTGTTAACAAGGAAGATTAGATTTATTTTAACAAGATTACCCTGTTTCGAGCACTGTTCCTCATCCTTTGTTTTCCTGTTTACATCGAAGGGAAAGAAGGTTTCATGTATCACGTATTTCCATAACTTTCTAACTAATTACTTTTATTCTTGCAGGAGTAGAGACCTCTATTACTTAGAGTTACTTTAAACGAGTAATGCAAATTTAGTCAACTCGTCTATGTGACGACTCGCTCTTGTTAATATCTTTACATAAATTGAAAGAACCTGAAAACGTCCGGATATTCAAGCAGGCTAAAACTTTTAATTAGCTTGATGACGTAGGTGAAGAGACTATAGTTAACGTTTATCATATAAAATAACTTCTAATATATGATTATACCTTTTATAGATAGGTGTTGTATATGTTCTTTAGATTTATAACTTCTAATATACGAGTATACCTTTTATAGATAGGTTTTGTATATGTTCATTTTACTTACAACTTCTAATATACGAGTATACCTTTTATAGATAGGTTTTGTATATGTTCATTTTACTTATAACTTCTAATATATAAGTATACCTTTTATAGATAGGTTTTATATATGTTCATTTCACATATAACTTCTAATATACGAGTATACCTTTTATAGATAGGTTTTATGTATGTTCATGTGATACTAGTGACTTTTATGAGTTTTGGTAAATCATTAATACAATTAACTTAGATATAATAAAAACAAGTTTATTGTAGAGTTTATGAATTCATTTAAGTAAAGACTATAAGCCAGTGTTTGGAATTTTAATTGACAAACATTAGTGTTTTATAATGCAGTCACTGACAGTGGTCTGTCTGTAAAGTATCGGTGATCTGTCCAAAACATATCTGCCTTATGATCAGTTATCAAGTTATCTAATCTGTCCAATAATATCTGCCATACGATCAGTTATTAAGCTATCTAGTTTGCCCAAAAAATATCTGCCTTACGATCAGTTATTGAGCTATCTAATTTGTCCAAAAATATCTGCCTTACGATCAGTTATTGAGCTATCTAATTTGTCCAAAAATATCTGCCTTACGATCAGTTATTGAGCTATCTAGTTTGTCCAAAAATATCTGCCTTACGATCAGTTATTAAGCTATGTAGTTTGTCCAAAAATAGCTGCCATACGTTGAGTAAGTCACTTATACTGCTAAAACATGTTAAATACATAATATTGAAACAAAGTAATATAGAAGGTTTCATATTTTCATTAATAGCTGTGCTCAATATTTAAATAATGAGATATTTAAGTGTGATTTGAAAAGAAATTTTGTTTTCTTGAGGAAAATGAAACTTTTAAACTAAGGGATCTTTATAAGTGATAATAACAAATTTAATAAACCTTTTCTCAAAATATCTTCAGTAATTCTTAAAGTTAGAAACGTCATCATTTAACATTGGCAATCTTTCAGTGATAAAAAGATGTAGTCAAACTTTAAAAATGAAATTTCTCGTGCCGTCTTCAAGCATCTCGCTTATAATAAAATATTTGTCATAAGTTTTATGCAAAATCAATTTAACTGTAATTGACTAAGATCTACGTACAACAGGTGCACCTGTCGTGTAAAAAATAAAATGAAAAACTAAACTTTATTTAAACGTAAGTTATCGCCGTATAAACATTACAATCTTTGAACCCTTCTGTTTTTTATTTCTCTTCTTTAATATAATCTACCAGTTTCGTGACTTCAGAGGTCACTCTTCAGGATGTAATTTTACTGACAATTAAGTTCAAGTATGGCTTTTCAACGTAACATAAAGTAAATACATATTTCTTTAAATGTACAAAGATGAAGTACAATCTTTAAATACATTAAATATACTCAAAAATAAATTGGTTAATTAAGCATGCTTTCCTTTCTTTTCTTCTACTTTTTCTTATGATTAAAAGTTTACTTTAATTATACTTTTCCTGTTACTATAAAAAATCAGTTTATTCTCTATTCTTTAACAACTTAATATACATGTTATTCAGATTATTATCATTTTTTGTGATTCCTAGTCATGTTTTTACCGCTACAAAACATGATAATAATAATAAATAAAAAAAGAGAGAAAACAGACTTAAAGGATAGTTGTTATTTGTATCCAAGGTGTTTTATATATACATGTATAGTTGGTTTCTCTCTTCTGTTA